CAGCTTCAGGAAAAGCGTCGTCCTTTTCATCGACCTCTTTGCCTTTGGAAGGTCGGTCTTTTCTTTGGTCCTTTCGATCCTCTCTCTTTGGGCTTCGACTTCGGCTTCGGCTACTTTGCTTGCGCTTATTATTTTTCTTGCCTTGTGTTCGGATGATATACTGCTTTAACTTTCCCTCCCTGACGTGTTTTTCAATTGCATCTCGGAGGTCCCAGCAATCATCCGTATAGTGACCGTTTTGGTCATGGAATGCGCAGTATTTGCTTCTATCTAATCCGAACTTGGCTTTGAGAGGTCGAGGTCTCTCGACGTTGCGCATTTCGGTCTGTGCTACCTCTTTCCATATCTTGGATCTGGACACGCTCAAGGGTGTATAGTCGTCATACCTTCTCCTTGGTGATCGTTCTTCCGACCTTTTATCACGAGCGTCCTTTGCTTTTTTGGATCCCTTCTGGTCCCGGTCTTTGTTGTTTTTCCTACTCGGGCTCCGACGTGGAGGGCTTCGTCCTCGTGACTCGACATAAACCTTTTGCATGTCCTCCACGTCAATGTATTTGTCCGACCTCCTCCTGAACTCCTCCAGATCATTCACCGGGTTCTTATATATAGATCTCGCCAATGGGGAGTCGCCATCCAATCCCGAGATGATTAAGTGGAGGTGTACTGCTTCGGGTAGCCCTCGTACGTTGAGGGCGGCATCTTTGAACCGGTCGAGGTACTTCCTCAGCGATTCGTTCTCCTTCTGCCGGATTCTTCCCAAAGCATAGGCTGGCATCGGATGTACTTTGCTTGTTGCAAAGTTAAGTCGGAAAGTCCGAGCTAGGTCCTCGAATGAGTCGATTGAGTTCCTAGGGAGCCTGGTTATCCAGGTCATTGCTTGACCAGGAAGCGTTGTCGCAAAGATCCTGGCCTTAATAGGTCCAGTGATCCCGTTGAATAGCATCTCGGTTTTAAAAGCCTCCAAATGGGCTTCTGGGTCCTGACTTCCGTCGTATGGAGGTATCCTGGTGCTCTTGAATCTCGGTGGTATGGCCAAGTTCATGAGCCTCTCAGTGAATGGGCTATCACTAGCCTCTTCATCCTCCAGATAATTTTTGTCCTGGTAGTCGTTCGGGCCACCGCCATTCCGGTTGTTACCGAGGTTAAGGTTCTGCTCATTGTGCGTGTTTCCTTCGAGTGTGGCTGCGTTCTGTTGCCGCGGTGCTCCATCGCCAGAATTGCCGCGCCTTCTAGGTCGATCTCCAACGTTTTGATGCTGGAGGTTTTCAGCATTCAGATGCTGGATGCCTTCGACGTTCTGATGTACGCCTTCGGCATGTTGCTGCTGAGGTCGGTCGTTTATGACCCCCCGGCTCCCCTAGTCTGGCCTTCCGCGTTCAAGGTTCTCAGTTCGGCCTCCAATGTCGTCATCCTTTGGGCATCCATACGCTGCTGGGTCAGGAATCTGTTTTCCATCTCTTGCAACCTTTGAAGGATTGCTCCCATGGCCATGTTTGTCACGTTTGGTGGCTCACTGTGTGGAGGTGGACGAATTGCAGCAGTTGTTGTACTCGACAGGGGTCTGGGAGTCGGTCCTTGTGTACCGACCTCGCCGACCTGTACCTCTATTAGCACCGGGTTTGCTTCCAACTGGGGCTGTTCTGGTGCAGATTGATGTTGAGGCATGCCGTAAGGCTGAGACTGTGGTTGACGCGGCGACATTTGGGAGGTACCAGACGTCGAACGTGTGTTCGTCATCGTGGGATGGGAGTCGAAATTTATCGTTTCCCACAGACGACGCCAATGTTCGGTCCTGGATAGACCGTATTGCTATACCGTATGGTATGCGCTCAGAGATAGTGTATATCAAATGTATACTAGGCTTATAGCCGAGGTCCCAATCACTGCGCACAAGCAATAGGCTTATAGCCAAAGGGTGGGTGTGTGCACAGTGTGGGCAGAAGTAATAAATGAGTTCTGAATGTTTACCTGGGGTCCTTAGGCTCTTATTTATAGGATTACCTTCCTAGGATTGTGCCTTTTGAGATCCCCCAATTGTAGTAGGATTCCCTCTCCTTCTGTTGGGGTGTGATTCTTATCTTATATCCTTTTAGCTGTTTGAGGTTGTTGAGATGTTGCTGATACCATATCACTCCGGATATTCTAGTAGGTAGTTGGGATATGATACACATATCCATAACACTTTATAATTTATATGGGGAAGGATTCGTTTACAAACTTTTTTTACAAATTACATTATCTTCTCTCGGGAGAACATAATGTAACTAGTGTTCTCCCGAGAGAAGATAGTGTAGTTTGTAAGAATTTGTAAACAAAAAAGTTTGTAAATATAACTTGTCTCAATTCATATAATCCAAACTTTGGTTCGATAAGACTTATAAAAGATATTATTTGCCTCAACAAAATTTACCTCATTTTCATCTTTTCATGAGGGAAAAAGTGTTTATCCTTTTAAATGACACAACTTGTGTCATTTCACTCTCACAAAGAGGTAGGACCCACATATTTTTTTTTTGTCAACTCTCTCTCTCCTCCTTTATCTATCACTTTCTCTCTCTTAAAATGACATAATTTTACATCATTTGAAATGACACACACTTTTCCCTTTCTTGAGTTAAAGAAATAAGCAAATTACAAGGAAACAATTGTGGACCAATGAACTCATTATTGCTACCAGGGTTGTAAATGGGCTAAGTCGGAGTATAGAGGCCTACGGCCTAGTCTATATTAGGTCAGACTTAGCTTGTTACAAATAGTAAAATAGAACAGGCCCAGATTTTTAAAAAAACCTATTTAGAAAATAGACAGTAGGCTTTTTTATACATATCGGGCCTATAAGCCTATAGGTCGTCCTCTATCATATTTTTATTTTAAATAAAATAAATAAAATTATTATTTTAATAACTTTGAATAATAAAAGTAATATTATTTTAGTTATTCTTTTAATTGTTGAATGTTTAATAGGCTTAAACAGGCTAACAGGCCAACGCCAAGGCTTTTATATCAGGTCAAACTTGTAATTTTAGGCCTACACATACTAACAGACCAGACCATATCTAATATTTTTTACACAGACTTAGCCTATTTAAGTCAAAGCTTAGCCTATTTACATCTCTAATTGTTATACTATTGTGCTCAAAACAAAACACTCCCACCGTTAATTCCTACATTTGCTGTCTATCTATTGCATGTACTGTCAATTTTAATATGATGTTAAGGAATTGGTTCTAGCTTCTTTACTTGATTTAATTACTCATTTAAATTATATTTGAGTAATCTATATTATTTGTATCTTTAGTGGGCTTGCATGTCTTGATTAACTGCATTAAAATGTATAATTTGTCAAAGTAGTTTAAAAACTTGTGATCACTCAAATCATCCCTCTTCTTCGATGATGATTGCCATGCCCAACACTTTCCATTAATATGAGAAAGTCATGGACATGATGTTAAGGACATGGTTAGCTTATGAAAATTTATGTTACCTTGACACACATGTAATCTATGTTGCACCGACACCGATACAGGATACGAGATACGACACGACACGACACTCCGACACGTTAATTCTAAAAAACGTTAAATTTCGACACGTTAGAACACGTTTTGATATTATATAATATTTTTAATTTATGTAGTGTATATGTTACAAAGAGGAGGAGTGGAGCTCCAAGTTGGGTAAAAGACTTTGTTGTTAATATTCATTAGGAACATAATTGATATAGAAGGTTAATAGAGTGTTATAGATGTTACTAGATTGTTATAGATGTTACTGATATAGCCATTGTTAATTGTAATTGTGACGTAGCATTGGTTATTACACTCATAGCTTGTTGTCATTATAATAAAAGGACAGCTGTTGTAATTACTACCATTCATTCATAAAATAAAACAAAAACAGTTCTCTTGTTTCTTATTTCGTTCCTCTTCCTCTGTTAAGGGTACAAACCCTTATCATTGGTTCTTTCATCCATTTACTCCTCAAGATCGAAGATGTGAATCCAAGAGTTAGCAGAAGAACTCGGTTCTTTTCAAGCACAGGTGGATTATAGTTTGGAGGAGATTCAACAACGTTTTGGTGACCATCAAACCCAGCTCACGAGGATCAACGTTCAGCTCCAACAGATCCATGCAGCGGTGGTGGGAGCGGAGAATCGAGGGGGGAGAATGTTCCTCCAAGAGGCAACAATGCATCCTTAGGATTGAATCACCTCAGGTTTGATCCTAATGACTCCAGAAATGTGATAAAATCAGTGAAAATGGATTTGCCCTCTTTTGATGGCAAAGATCCAACCAGCTGAATCTTTCGGGTGGAATTGTATTTTGGCTTGCAGCAAATACCCGAATCCCTCAAGGTTCAGTTGGCAGGCATGAGAATGGAGGGAACGGCAGATCCGTGGTTTCAATGGCTATTTAGCGGTGGAACCATTCAATCTTAGGAGGGTCTTAAACATGCGGTGGAACAATGTTTTGGGGGTACAACCTACACAGATTTAAGAGGCATTTTATCCAAGTTGACTCAGGAAGGAGCCATCATTGAGTACATTCGGATTTTTGAGGCATTGATTAACTAGGTTACTGATTTTTCAGATGAAGTGTTAATGTGTTTTTTTGTTTCTGGATTACAACCTGAGTTCAGACGAGCTATACAATTACATAGGCCTACAACTCTGCATCAGGCTATGCAATCAGCCATCACCTATGAAGCTCACTTTACAGAGTTACGTTCATCCCTGACTCCTTCTACCAGGAAGTTTTTTCCCAAACCAATTTTGGTTGTGGAACATAATCCATCAAATGAGGTAGTGCAACCAGTGAAGCCATTTCTACCAGCCTTACCTTCAAATGTCCCTATCAAAAAATTCTCCAATGAGTACTTATAGAAGCGTAGAGAGGCAGGACTTTGTTACACGTGTGATAAGAAGTGGACATCCAAGCATAGATGCAAGGCTAAGTTGCTGATGATGGTAGGAGAGTTCGATAATGAAGAAGAAGATATAGATGAGCACATAGTATGGCAACCTGAGCAAGGACCGCAGGAATGTCACGATGCAGCCCTTCACTCTCTTGAGTGTGATCACAATCCCAGAGCCTTACAGTTCACGGTTTCAATGGGTGGAAGGTTAGTTTCAATTTTAATTGATTCAGGTAGCTCTCATATTTTTGTACAAAAAGAATTAGCAGAGCAAATGGTCCTACTAAAGGTTAGAATTTCCAGAATGAGAGTTTTTTTGGGCAATGGGGAATTTCTTGTATGTGAAAAAAAATGTCTTGTTGTGGTATTGAATATTCAAGGATATGACTTCAAGGTTGATTTGTGGGTAATTGAATTGAAGAGTTTGGGAGTCATTCTGGGCATAATGTGGCTGAGTTCTTTGGGAAGGGAAATTCACGATTACAGTGAGATGTCAATGGAGTTTAATTGGAATGGGAAGAGGGTCGTACTGTGTGGTCAAGGAAGCAAGGAGGTGGTGTTACAACCTATGGGCAAATGTCTGTCCCTAGCAGTGGAAGATGCAGCCTTGGTGGAGCCAAGAACCCTGTTGCCTGAGCTAGCAGCTTTGAAGGAAAAAAATTCCTTTAGAAGTGTGGAGTATTTTAGTAGACCATTAATCTGTTTTTCAATTACCACAAGGCCTACCTCCTCTGAGAAATTGTGATCATGCCATCCACCTAATTCCAGGCTCTAAGCCCGTGAATGTGAAGCCATACAGGTATAGCCGCAATCAAAAAGCTGAGATTGAGAGGCAAGTAGCTGAACTGTTGCAATCTGGTTTAATTAAAACAAGACATAGCCCATTTTCCTCACCTGTGTTGTTAGTCAAAAAATAGGATAATTCTTGGAGGATGTGCATAGATTATCGAGCTTTGAATGCTATCACTGTTAAGGATCGTTTTCCAATACCAACAATTGATGAACTCCTTGATGAGTTGAAGGATGCTGTTGTATTTTCCAAGTTAGACTTGAGGAGTGGATACCATCAAATAAGGTTGATTTCAGGGGATACTCCTAAAACAGCTTTCCGCACTTATGATGGCCACCACGAGTTCATGGTGATGCCTTTTGGATTTACCAACGCTCCTTCTACTTTTCAATCGGCCAAGACTCAAATGTTTCGACCCTATTTGAGAAGGTTCATCATATTTTTTTTTATGACATCTTAATATATAGTGGGTCCTTCTTGCATCATTTGGATCATCTCCGGTTGACACTGGCTTGTTTACAGCAGAATCATTTTATGGTGAAGCTTAGCAAATGTTGTTTTGCATTGTCAGAAATAGACTATTTGGGGCACTTGGTTTCTGGAGAAGGAGTCAAGGTTGACCCAAAGAAGATAGAAGCAATGATACAATGGCCTCAACCCAAGAACATTAAGCAGTTGCGAGGATTCATAGGTCTTACTGGTTACTATCGACGTTTTATTAGACAATATGCTTGTGTGGCAGCTCCTCTTACTGACCTCTTGAAGACTGATGCGTTTGTGTGGAGTGTTGATGCAGAGAAAGCTTTTTCCTTGTTGAAAGAAGCAATGACTTCCACACCAATTTTATCATTGCCTGACTTCTCTTTACCTTTTATTATTGAAACAAATGCATCTTCATTTGGGATTGGTGCTATATTGTTGCAAAAAAATAAACCTATAGCCTTTTCAGAGAGAAATTGGGTCCTAGAATGAGAGTTGCTTCAACATATGTCAGGGAGCTTTTTGCTATAACCAAGGTGTAAGAACCCGCACC